TCAATCTGGGAACTGCTTAGGGCAAACCTGCCTCCCATTCTATTCAAAGTCATCCCATGCTCACGGATAAGAATGCATATCTTATTGCCTCCTTTGGAAAGGCTCATCAGAAACTCAGAAGAATGCACCCACCTGTGACCTGGAAGCCCCCTCCTGGCTTCGAGTTGACCCTCTTTTGCTTCAGGTTGTACCGGAACGAACCAGTGTTCATCTTACATATGTTGATTGATGTCTCCTATCTCCCTAAAATGTATAAAACTGTCAGATACAGTCAGTTTCGCTTCCAAGGTTTGGCATGTTAACGTTCTTGTTTTTTGTTCTGGAACTCAACTTTCTTGTTCTCCATGTCTCCTTGCCCTTAGTTACTGTAAACAACCTTCCCATCAGTTCTAATCAATAACTCACATCTGTTCCCTTGGTTACCTGCTCTGCACCCATTTCTCCCTTCGAAACCACACGTCCCACCGTTGTAACTCACATCCCCCTTCCCCCTTCCTTATTTGGGAAAATATTCACAAATAGCCAACCAGGTCGGTTTAGATCTTGAGGTCTGGCCCCAGCCCATGCCAGAGGTAGGGACTGCGTTAGGAATAAAAACCCCTGCTTTCCTTTGTTCCGTGTGCTCTTGCGATTGTGATTGATGCCAGCAGCACGCTTCTGCAGAAGTAAATCGTGTGGCTGAGAAAACTTTCGCTTGAGTGCTGGTTTCACTTTGCGGCACCGAGCATTTATCTCCAACAAAACCAAGCTGTGCTCTGACCACCTTGGGCAATTGTCATCAGGACATCCTGAGGCTGTGTCATGCACAAGCATCCCCAACCTTGGCAAAATAAACTTTCTAAATACTCTTATTCCCAAATGCTCGGGGAGACTGATTTGAATAATCATAAAACTCCGAGGCTGCACTCCAGCCTGGGCGACAGAGCAAGACTCTGTTTCAGAAAAATAAAATTAAATTAGAAACTCCAGTCTCCCGCACAGCCGACTCTGCGTGAATTACTCCTTCTCTCTTGCTATTCCCCCCTCTTGAGAAACCGGCTTTGTCTAGGTAGCGGGCAAGGTGAACCCACTGGGCAGTTACAGAATTGTCATTATATTGCTTGCAATTTTATATATATTTTATGCACAAATAGCTATAATCTTCTTCTACACAAGTTTAATTGGGAATGTCCTTGCATGGTGAGATCCCAGGGCAGGAAGGACGCACCCCCTACAAACCGCTAGGCCAAAACGATCATTCTGGCCTCATCCAGCCTCGCGTGAGCTCGCAATCTCCTGTCACTCAGGGCCTGGGGGGGCGGGGCCTGAAGCCCCCTGCAATCAGGGGCGTTGGGGCGGGGAGCGTTCAATCAGGCGCGCCGCCGGAAAGGAGAGGGCGGCTTCCGGGATCAGGCTGGCGGGTGCTTTGTCTGGCCTTGGCCGCAGTGGGCTCTTTCCGTGAGTCTCAGCTGCTACTTCTTGGCTCTGGGAGGCCCAGGTGGCTCTGCAGCAGCCTCTGCCACCCTGTGACCTGCGGGTATTGGGACATCCCTCGCTGACGCGGGAACACCCGGGGAGCCGAGGAATGGTGAGTGGACTGCGCCTGGCTTCCCGAAGTGGGGAAGAGGGCTGGGTGAAACCTGCTGGA